TGCTTTAATTACTTTTTATTCTGCAATTTAAATCTATTGAATTCAGACAATAAGAAAACAAGCTACCCAGAAACTGCTGCCTGGGTGAAATCTTGGCTAAGAACTTGTTGCTCTGGCCCACCCGCCCCGCCCGCCCACCCACCCGCGGCTCTCCGAGACACTGTCCCCCTGAGCCTGCAGCAGCACTTGGCACACGTGGTACTGGGTCTCCAGCAGGAGCAGCGTGTCCAGGTCACAGCACAGCACGCTGAGTAACCTGGAAGGGGGACAGAAGAAGAGCCTGTGAATGATGCTGGCCATGCAGACACTGCCCGAAGGCACGAGTCGCGCACATACATGGAAGCACAGATCTTGTGTTTTTTCAGGGGCCAATGGTAATTCGCAGTCCACTTGCTGCAAGTTTATCTAAAGCTCTACGAATACTAGTGTATTTTCTTCTCCACTGCTACTTAATTTAAAAATTCAGCAGGAAACATTAGCAAATCCACAAAAGCTGCCAACTGCTGTACCTTTCTATTCAACAATTAATTAGACAAGGAATCTTGGACTGAGAATTACCAGCTTGGGCAATGCTACCAATCTAGGAGGTGTTCACTCAGTGAAATGTCAATGCCCGAGCTGGTAATTCTCAGCTCAAGATGCAGTACCCTAACATTATCACCAGACAGTGACCCCGGCTCCAGTCAATTCCACGACTCTTGGGATCAATTTATAGCAAATACGAGTATTAGAGAAAGAGAAACAATTAACCAAGTCCAGAGTCTGGAAAATCTTACACATCATTATGACTTCACCAAAAAAAAAAAAGGCACAAAAAAACAAAGCAGAAACCTAAATTTGAAACGAAATACTGAGCAACATGATGGTATTCTGATCTTGATTCAAATAAAGAAACAAATATAATGCTATTATTTTTCATCTTGATTCAAACAATTACAAGTGTAACTTTGGGGTCAAACAGTAAAATATGGAATAGGTACTAGAGAAGACCAAGGTGATCTTTTCTCCTAATTTATTAGATGTAGCAACAGTATGGTAGTAAAGATTTGGGATTTTATTTCCTGTTTTCCTAATAGGTCTTTAACTGTTAGAGCAACAGATACAGAATTGTTTATAGTAAAAATATAATATCTGAAAATTGCCTTGAGGTACTTAAATAAAGAAGAGATGAAACAAGAATGTAAAAATCCTGAGGGTGGAGCAGGCGGAAGTAGGGGCGAAAGGCGGCTGCAGCGCCTAACCGCGGAGGCAGGGATCAAGACTGAGAGGTTGCTGGGTGGGCACTATGGCCGGGATCACCACCATTGAGGCGGTGAAGAGCAAGATCCGGGTTCTTCAGCAGCAGGCCGATGATGCAGAGGAGAGGGCCGAACGCCTCCAGCGGGAAGTGGAGGGAAAAAGGTGGGCTCGGGAACAGGCTGAAGCAGAGGTAGCCTCCTTGAACCATAGGATCCAGCTGGTTGAAGAGGAGCTGGACCGTGCACAGGAGCGCCTGGCCACTGCCCTGCAAAAGCTAGAGGAAGCTGAGAAAGCTGCTGATGAGAGTGAGAGAGGTATGAAGGTCATTGAAAACCGGACCCTAAAAGATGAAGAAAAGATGGAGCTCCAGGAAATCCAGCTGAAAGAAGCTAAACACATTGCCGAAGAGGCAGACAGGAAGTACGAAGAGGTGGCTCGTAAGTTGGTGATCGTTGAAGGAGATTTGGAACGCACAGAGGAACGAGCTGAGCTGGCAGAGTCCCGTTGCCGGGAGATGGATGAGCAGATCAGAGTGATGGACCAGAACCTGAAGTGTCTGAGTGCTGCTGAAGAAAAGTACTCGCAAAAAGAAGACAAATATGAGGAAGAAATAAAGATTCTTACTGATAAACTCAAGGAGGCGGAGACCCGCGCTGAGTTTGCTGAGAGATCAGTAGCCAAACTGGAAAAGACCATTGATGACTTGGAAGATAAGCTGAAATGCACCAAAGAGGAGCACCTCTGTACACAAAGGATGCTGGACCAGACTCTGCTTGACCTGAATGAGATGTAGAGCTCCCCCAGCCTGCCCTGCCGCTGCTCCTCCCTTTGACCCAACACACCACCTGAGGCCAGCCTGCCCGGAGCTGACCTCAAAACTGAGGGCTGATCTTTAACTGGAAGGCTGCTTTCTCCTTTCTATATCCTCTCCCCACTCCCTACCCCCACCTCCTTGTCTTTTTCATCAAACTGTCTCTGCCTCTTCCCAGAGATTCCAGCTGGGCTAGAGGCTGAGCACCTTTGGGAACAACATTTAAGGGAATGTGAGCACAATGCAAAGTGTCTTTAAAAGCATGTTGTGATGTACACATTTGTAATAACCTTAGTTGTAACCATTTGTAAAACTTTCCGAGTAACTGCACAGCTCTGAAGTCACAATCTAATTCCATTCTCACTTTGGAAGGTAGCTTTTCAGCCTAATGCATAGTGCTCTCTCCATAGAGGAAGAAAAGAAGTATGGGCATGCCTTACCAAGAGCCAAACAGAGTCCAGGCAGAGACTCCACCGGGGAGACCTTACAGCTCTGTACCGAGTACCAGCTAAGCCAGAAAGGAGATTCCAGGAGGAGTTAGCCAAAAACCAAAACCATGCTGCTCAGGTTTTGAGTTTCGACGTGTCTTTGGACAACTTTATTTTTATTTTTAACTTTTCTCATCAGAAGTGAGCAAGATACGATAATGGTTAGACCTCTGAGACGGAGGCTTTTTTTTTTTTTTGGGTGATGCTGGGATTGAACCCATGGAGGGACTCATGCATATTAGGCAAGAGTTCTACCACTGAGCAATATCCCCAGCCATGAGACCAAATTTTTGTCCTATTTCTACCCTTTTCCAGCTGCTCACTGAACAGATCATGTGTCCCTTCCTTACTGTTGAGGTGACCACTTAATTGCTTTCCTGCCTCTTTGAAAGAAAAGTAATGTTTTTGCCATTTACGCAGCCATATGAAACTCATCTCACCCTTTTCTGGGTCTGAAGCTGCTGTCTCTAAAAGTGCCATCTCGTGCTTTGTATCAGTCAGTGCTGGAGAAATCTTGAATAGCTTATGTACAAAACTTAAAATTTTATATTATTTTGAAATTTTGCTTCTTTAGGGTTGGAGTGCATGGCTGCCCCATCTGGCTGTGAAGAGTTCTCTCCAGTCTGTGGGCTGGCAGTGCGCTGATCTTTTGAAGTTTTTTCCCCATCCAGTCCCCACTTCAGGTGAGGTTTCTGCGAGGTCTGTTAGGTGTACATCCTGCAGCTTATTGGCTTAAAATGTATTCTCCTTTGTTGTGGTCTCTGGGACCCGTCAGGAAAAGAAGACCCAGTAGTGCAACTGTTTTGATACTGAGTATTGACAAGTACCTTTTTGAAATAACCAGTCCCTCTAAACCTCAAAAAAAAAAAAGTAAAAATCCTAATAATTCAACAAGATGGTGAACGAACCCAGGAGTGCGACAAGAGAGCTGTGATCCCAGCCCAAAGTGAGAGTTCAAGTCCAGCCTGAGGAACTTAACCTCAGGAGGGCCGCTCTCAAAATGTAAAACTTAAAAAAGCACTGGGATACAGCACTGTGCAAATGCCCTGCATTCAGTCCTCAGCACTGGTTAAAGAGAAGAGGAACAGGAGCGGGGTGCAGAGGAGTAAGAGGCAAAGGAGGTGCTGATGGTACATAGAAGGTTCATTAAAACATTCACCACCGTTTTATGTTTAAAACTCCAATTTTCGGATGTCCATATAATTGCAACGTTTTACTTATTGAGAAGGATACAAAAATCAGGAGAGAACTATTTAGTTGATAAATCAAATGTCAAAAACAGCAATTCAATGTTACCTCCTAGAATCCAACTATAATTTAAAAAATGCTTAAAATAAACTAAAAGAAAATTCACTAGTGACAATCTAGAGAAATGTCCTATATATACACTTATAAAAGTGAAATCACTTAAATAAAATAGAGATGAAACTGAAAGGGAGAACACTGAGGCCTAGCTTGAATATTATGGAAGCCAATACCAAAATGAACGGAAAACTCTGCACCGAGGAGTTGGAAGGGGACCAACTTCACTCCAGGGATCACTCCCAGCGCATTAGCCTAGAGCCCGTGTTGGGCTCAGGTTACACAGGTTTTGCAAGCAGGAGATACAAAAGCTTAAAAGCACAGCGAGTTTTTATTGGGCAGTGTCAGTGATTCTTCCTTGTTGAACAGGAAGCCCTGGAAACAAGTCAGCCAATGAGGTGTGCCTGGGGACGAGAACGTGCAGGCTGTGCGGCAGGCTGCGGTCAGCACAAGCCGGGTCAGCGGTCTCCAGAGTGGTCAGCTGAGGCCGAGAGTCTAGCAGAGGAGCTGCGCGCTGGGCTGCACAATCTCACTGTGTCCTCGTGTGGGTGTCAGGCTATGGTCAGTTTTAACATCTAAAAATTTCCATCACATTAAGACTGTGATACACACACTGGCATCCCCCTTTCTCATCTTCGGAGCAATCCAAAAGCATACAGGAAGAAGGAAAATAGCGTATTACAGAAAAACTTAACCACACAGATGAATGGCAATCAAAATTAGTAAAAATAGGGCAAATATCATTAGGGAGAAGAAAGGAACTGAGAAACAATATCATGGCTGGAAGTGGTGTTCAAAGATATCAGTGTATTTCTCAAAAATAAATAAATTTCTAAGAAAGTAGAAAACCAAGGGGAATCCCCAGAATGAGCCTAACCTGAATGCAGAAGCTGATCCTGCGCTCAGCGAGGGCAGTGGACTCCGCAGGAAGCAACAGGAGCCTCGAGCCCAGGGCGTTCTGAGACACCGGAGAAGCAAAGTGGAACCGGATGCCCACAAATATCCACTATTAGCTGTGGGTTCATTTCCAGAGATAATGGTTAAGTGGTGCACAGCTGCCTCCATGTTCAGATGGGGTGAAAGAGCACGACGAGAGGATGAATGTACACACACAAATGTGGGTGCTCGTGCAAAGCCCCCCGCCTTCGGGACCGCGGCCCTGGCTTCTCTTCAATAGGGGGCTCTTGCATGTAGTTGGCATGGAAATAACTCACTCTCTACAAGAAGAAATGCCACACAAAGATGCTATAAGGAAAGTGAGGCACAAAGGTGAACCAATACAGGATATAAATGAAAAACAATACCACTCAACAGCTTAAAGCTATGATCAAATAATGAATTAAAAATGTTTAAAACAACTGTCTCATTAGGATCTTGGTACCAGTGCACGTACACAGGGAATAAAAAGTAAAATAATCAGAAAGATAAAAAGATGGACTGGCAGAGCTCGGGAGACAAGCAGAGGAGTAAAATTCCTAGAAACAAAAGCACAATGGAAACACCAAGGACAGACACCGCCAAGCCCAGGACGCAGGTGACGGGCACACAGGAGCTCATTAGAATGGTCGCCATACTTATGTTTCAAACTTCTCTGATTTCTGAACCCTGGTATACTTGCATGCTTTACTTATTCAAAAAGGTGCATATATAAACCAAGAGAAGATGCTCTCCTCCAGAAGAGAATGGAAAATGGGATGCAAATGAATTTAATTACAGATTTCTGGAAGAGAAAACAGAAATAACCTAGCAGGATACACCTTAAAAATATTAGTCAAGAATTCCTTCCTGCAGAAAAAGAAGCAAAACAATCCCCAAGATAAAGTGAACCAGAATCTGCCATGAGGCGGAGCTAGGCGCATCAGCAGACTAAAGACAACACCAAAAAAACAAACACAAATGACAAGCAACAACAGTCACACCACCAGCTGCCAAAGCCCTGTGTGAGGCCGCCTGGTTCCTGCTGCCCCCTGCCCTGCCTGCTGCCTGCAGCAGGAGGGGACACCGCTGTGGGGAGATGGGGAAGACATCAGGCAGCCCCTCACACGGAACGGTGGGTTGTGCAGACACGCTTGAACATGACAGAAAACCAAGTTAAATAAAAATGAAACTAGGCAGCGGGGCTCTGGCCTGCGCTGGGTGGAGCCGGCCAGAACACCACGCAGCTGCTGGCAAAGGCCACTGTGGCCGCAACCCAATGGCCCCACCCAGGCCCCACCCAGCCAGGTCCCTCTCCTCAGGGTGGCAGGGCTGCTTGTGGCTATGTGGGGCTTTCTATCTTTTCTTTTGGTTCTGCTATTTGGTCCTTTTGCTGTCCATTTGTTTTGCATGTGTCACCAATGAAGAGACCAGCTCTGTGCTGCTCAGCAGCCCAGTGGGTTCTGGGGAGGCCACAGCCCCAGGCCATGGGGCACTGCCCATCCCTCACAGCAGGATTCTAGAAGCAGGCAAGACAGAAGTGACACAGGGGAAGGAAACTCCCAACCTGAAAGATATCTGGACAAGTTTGTATTCTCTAAAATACAAGAATGGATTTTAGGAACAATGGAGGTTAAGAGCAGAATACATTTACTGAGGGAAAGAAAGTTTCTGTTGAAGAGAGGTACAGAGGGGGACCAAATGGGTTGTCAAGGACCCTGCCTTTTCTAGGGGTTTTATAGAACAAAAGCTATGAGGTAAGGTGGGCTCAAGGTGTGAATCATGAGAATTCACAAGTGGGCATGAGATAGGACAAGACTATGGTCAAGCAGTAAAATTACAAGCATAATTATCAGGTAAAATTGATTAAATTGGGATCAATGGGGAAGTGAGTTACGCAGGAAGTGGACATGAATATAGGGCAAGGGCTTTTCCAATAGGGGTTGGGTCAGTGGCTCTTCCTGGCTTTGTCAAGGTGACTGAAACGTATTTAGAATATCAGTCCTTGGTGTCCATCCTTAGGAAGGCATGGAAGGGCACCTGATTAACCTTCTGCTTGAGGGCCAACCCACGGCAGAGGTGCGTCTCTGCACGTGTGAGGCACCCCATGTTCCACATGTAGTAAGGACTGACCCAAAAATGCACTGAACAACAGACAGATACACTGAACACAGCATATTAATAGCTACACTGGAATACTGCATGGTCATCAAGACGCAAAGACCTGCAAATCAATCTTAAAAAGTAAAGAAAAGGTCAGGTACGACAGGATACACAGTTCATGCTGCTCGTACTGTAAAGTATCTAAAGAAGCCAAATCTGGAACACAAAAACATGAAGTAAACTGAAGAACTGAATTATCATAAAAATAATAGAACAACGGCTACCCTTAAGGGAAGGAGAACAGACGGTGCTACTACAGGGTACTGCTTTACCACCATGTGTTCATCTGCACGCTTATCTCATGCAATCCGTATGTTCTAGTGCATTACAAACCAAGTGTTACGCTGCAATGGGTAAGGGGATGGGAAAGGTACACTGCTAAACCAAAAGAAGGGTAAGTGTAATGCAACCAGTGCACACATTTTACTAGAATACTAATAAAAGAAGGCACAGCTAACGAGTACACATAGGATTCCCATAAGCCTTGATATCAAAAAACCATGTGCTACTAAGTCATGCAGTCATCTAATAAACAGCC